AAAAAAAATGCTAGAAAAGGAGGAGGGGTTAATTTTACAATTTTTCTTGTGCGCGCTCAGATTTTCGTTTTACAATATGTTGAAAAGAGCGAGCGTAAAAATTTCTGGAATTTACGGAGGAACAAAATTTTTTCGGTGTTTTGTCCAGCTTTGTTTGCTGTTGCTGCTGCTATCAAGAAGGTTCTTGTTGGATACTGCGAAAAATTTGTCACGCTCCCCCTTCATAGTTTTTGTCGTCTCATCGAACCAGCAGTGCGCCTGTGGACGAGCCTTTCTTGATTGTCGCTATGAGAACCGCACCGGCCAGTGGCCAGGTCTGTTGCTGATGATCCTGACATACGTTTCGCTGCTTTCTTCTTTTGTCCACTATTTGAAAAAATTCCGCCTTTCGGAGTGCAGCGCAACTGCCAGTTTGTTCTGCCAAAATCCCCGTTCCAACGCTGTAAAATATCTCCATATCAATTTTTATGCTTTTTGTGGTGTGTAACTGCAGAACAAAACGCTTATTATCACGGGGTTGTCTGTGTGTGTCCCACATTTTGTCCCGCACTTTTAAATCGGGAACCAGAATAGCTAGGTGGCTAAAATTTTATTATAGTGTTCCCCGTCAACGAATGATACGGCAGATTTAAATTCAGCCTTACTGTACCCGTGGGTAACACATACAGCCCCGCAGAAGTTTTGACGAGTAAAATCAGTATCTCGGGAACCACGGAAGCTAGGGAGCTGAGATTTTATGGGTATGTCCCCTGACCACGTGCAACCCGAAAAACTCAAATTCACCCTTCCTGTACCCGCGGGTAACATATACGACGCGGTGAAACTTTTGGCGGGTAAACTATTATCTAGGGAACCGCGGAATCTAGGGAGCTGAAATTTTAAGGTAGTGACCCCTGCTCACGTACGGCCTCGCAAATTCAGTGTTCGCGCGCTCTCGAGTATCACCTACTTCCCCTTGAAATTTTTGGCTGGTAAATTATTATCTCGGGGACCACGGAAGCTACGAAGCTACAATTTCATGGGTATATCCCCTGCCCACGTAAGACCCAGAAAATTTAAATTCAACCTTCCATTGCCCGCGGGTAGCACGTATGGCCCCCGTAAAATTTTGACGGGGAAAAAAGCTGGGAAACTGAATTTTTATGGATATGTTCTCTGCCCACGTGCGACCAAGGGAATTTAAATTCACCTTCCCGTGTCAGCGAGTAACACGTACGATCTCGTAAAAGTTTTGGCGGGTAAAATCATTATCTTAGGAACCGCGAAAGCTAGGGGGCTGAAATTTTTTGGTTATGCCCTTTGACTTCGTGTAACCCAGAAAATTTCAGTTTTCTCGTGCGCTTGGGTACCGCATACGGCCCCATGAAAGTTTTGGCGGAAAATTATCCCGAGAGCCATGAAAGTTAGGAAGCTGAAATTTCAGTACGATATTTTCTACTGCTGCAGGTATCTCACTCAAATCTAGCCCCTAAATTTGCAGGGGTGTTACGTAAGATCACATGGGAATTTTAATGTGAAAGTCACTAGCTCGGAAGCCGGAAAAATAGAAGGTTGAAATTTGGAAGGATGTTCCCCATCCATGTTTTCAAATTCAGCTTTTACGTAGCGGCACGTGAAATTTTCAGTGGGAAATTCCTCACCTTAGGAGCCAGATTCTACTATTTTACTATTTTCTACTATTTTCTACTATCTACTATTTTTTCATATACGAAAGTGTAAAATGGTTATATTTTTGGTAAGCAGACGTCCGCTGCACGGAACTATGCAAAACGCATGATCGTACCGGCTGCACAGTGCGCTTCGCTATTTACCCTTTTTTCGAACCGATTAGGTGTGATGTTTTTGCAGTGGCGGAGTTGGGGACAGCAGTCGGATGAAGCCGAGCAGCATTGCAAGAAGAAAGCAGAAATGTGCCACAAATCCGATCTGAGAGGTCTGTAATAAATTTTTTATGAATATGTAAATTTAAGTGTCATTTGGATGTAGCAAGGAGATGAATCATTAAATGATAACATCGAGAAAGAAACAGCCAAGGGTGACCAGTGAAAGGCTTACGTAGCAAAGATAGTAGGTAGTATTCTTGTGACTGACGGGGAAAATTTGCGGTCCGGCTGCGCTTAGTTTTTGGTACTTTTACATAACATCGAGCACAGATGGTGTAGTTGCTAGTTTCATAGAAACTGAAGAGAATTTCGGAAATTTTTAGAAGCCAAAGCAGAAGAGGCGCAGTGGCGAGAAAAATTAGCGGAGGCTGAAAAACAGTGCGAGCACTGCAACGAGCAGATGGCGCTGCATTCGGCACGGCTTACCGATGAAATTGAACAGGAACAAAATGAATTAGAAAAAGAAGGTTTGTGCGCTGGAAATTTTTAATAAAATTTGAATTTTGGGATTTGATGTTGCTGATATGCACTCATCTCTTGGGCACAGCTCCGTCCTGGGCTGCGCGCTTTCAGTTCGTTCCCGTTTTATCCGAAAGTCCCGTACATTTATGCGTCGTTTCTCTCAAAGTCCTCCGAGTGCGCGTATATTTATCAGTAGCACCTATTATTGATCGATAATTGTGCCGGTTTCGGCGTGGTGAACGAATTGCCCCGCTCATTACGTTGTCACAACCACTCCCCTCACGTCACGCGTCTTGCTAGAAGTTTGACTGCATGTTGTGTTACAAAAAGCCGCCCCAAGCATCTTTCTCTGCATCGCCCAGTCAGCATCCGCTATTTTGCCTTCGTCACATTATTACCTTCATCGTACTGGCACTATGTTTTTGGATTAATATTTGAGAGTGCTGATGGTACTGGAAAATTTTGCGCCAACTGTGACCTTTTGACGCTCTGTTCCCTGCTGGAGACTTTGGCGCACAAGAACTGAAACACGGATGAAATGGTTTGCGAACACCACTTCCTGCTGACGTGAACTCCACTCCGGCAGTTATTCCTGTTTCAAAGAAAACGATACACACGATGCCTTGTTTTGTTCCGCACCTACTGGGAATGTCGTATGATGTTATACCGATTTCGTGTGTCCTCAAAACACTTGTGGGTGTATATGAAGAGGTTCCGTTCCCCCGCAGTGATTACTTGAGCAT